GGCTAACATTTTAAGTTTTGCAGGATGTGGCCTAGACAGAGCATGTGTAGTTAACAGCAAATTAGTTACATTGTTTACTCAATAGCTAGGAAATGTATGTAAGCTACTTGCAAACTGGCAATCCAGACATTTTTTTCAGAAATTTCAAGTTATTGGAATGGTTCCATTCTGTTCTGTTTGAGCTTCTTTGTTTTTCAGCTTTTGGAATACAATAGTAATTAGTTTTTCTTTATATTCATTTTGGTTTATGAGTAGTAAAAATGGGGAGCTGTCTGTACAATTTTACAATTGTTTTTCATTATAACAGTGAAGTGCTAACAATGGTGTATGCAAGTAAGGCGGCCTGAGAGTTGCTATTTCAATCAGAGTTTGGATTGCAAACAGGTTTTAAATAAGTGTTGTAATATTACCAATTTTTACTTATATAGGAAACTTATTTTAAAATATGTATAACACCTGGTCAATTATTTTTGTAGGATTTTTTCACCAACAAGATTTAAAGACCTGCATAACTCAATTTGGCCGTGCACAGAAACTATGTTTGTATAGGGAATAATTCCCATTAAATCCCTTTGACTAGTCTAGTAAATTGACTTTAACTTTTTAATTAGGTGTTTCCTTCTAGAAAAGAAAATACACTGTAACTGAAATAAGGGTATGAATACCTTGTGCAAGAAAAAAAAAGATAGGTTGGAGGCTCTTTGTTTTGTAACTCAGTTGCTCTTTTTGGCTGTTGAGTCATTATTTATCCTTGAACTATCATTTAGTACTTAGGTCTCAATTAGACAATCTGTAAACTGTGCATGATATTTTTTTACCTTTACCGCTATAGATTCTGGTAGACTGTAAAATTCTACTCATAATTCAGTATGACATACTTAAGAACAAAAAAAGTATAGGGAAGAACAGTAGTAAAGTTATAGTATATAGTAAAAGTAAATTCATAATATCATTGTGAATTCACACAATTTCCAAATAGTTTGTGAGGCTTTACTGATACAAAAATTCTCCTCACAGTCTGAATCTCCCCAAGGGAGAAATGGAGTATTCAGAGAGTCCCCAAAATGAAACTCAATAGCAACACAGTTACTATTAAGCAGGCATCCTTTATTGCAGCGCTGGGCAGCAACGGGGGTTCTCCACCATAAGTGCTCCAACGAGTTAATGAATTTTTAGAGACTACATACTATACAATCATACATATTCATAGGATTTCTGGGAATTCGTTTATATAAACATGAGGTTTCCAGGAACTTATTAGCGTATGTAAATATCCAATTCGCATGCAGAGTCATCTCTCATGGTGGTCTTCAAGTGGTCTTTGGGGGTCTTCAGATGAAGGCTCGGGAGTCTTCTTCACTGTGCTCACTGACTGACCCTTGCTTCTGCGCAAACTCAGTCCTAGGATCACGTAGACGTTGTCCTTCAAGGCTATTGTTGCCATTCTTCTGTGTCTTCCTGTCTTCGTGGTTCCATGCATCTGTTCTCCCAAGGCCGAGTTGTCTGCAACGACATTATCCCGGAGCCCCCCCCTTATCTTATAACTGTTCTTCTAGCTACTCCCTAAATCACATCAAACCGTAAGGTATTCACAACATCCTTAAATCACACCAGGGTGTCTTCTGATCTAATTAAGTGACTAAGGTATTTACAACATCTTTCTTGCTCTTGTGGTTTTTAACCCTTTCATTAGCCCAAAATGTACCACTGTAAGTGAAAGGTTCAGAATTATCAGATGTTTAATTCTCCATTATCAAACAATATATTCACAGAAATGTCTGTTTTTATTGTTCCACATTAGGTGGTGAAATTGGATTGGGGATCCAATCTTTTGAAGATTGGCAGTGTGAAAGAGATGGAGAGCACTATTAGCCGTTTTAAGCTGGACAAACTGCTTTGACTCCAGGGTGTTTGATTTTTTTCTTGCTAGAAGTTTTGAAAAATTCTTCTCATTATTCCCCATTACATCAACTAAATTTTTTGTATTATTCTCTCACTGAAAAAAAAATCCTTTGATTTAGTCTCATCCTGGTTTCAGCTGGGATAATTTTCTTCCTAGTAGCTGGTATAGTGCTGTGTTTTGGATTTAGGATGAGAATAATGTTGATAACACCCTGATGTTTCAGTTGTTGCCGAGTAGTGCTTACACCAGTCAAGGACTTTTCAGCTTCCTATGCTCTGCCCGGTGCACAAGAAGCTGGGAGGGGGCACAGCCACGACAGCTGACCCAGACTGGCCACGGGGCTATTCCATACCGTATGACGTCATGCCCAGCACATAGACTGGGGGGAGTTGGCCAGGGGGCAGTGATCGCTGCTCAGGGACTGGCTTGGTGTTGGTCAGTAGGTGGTGAGTGGTTGCATCACTTGTTTTTCCTGGGTTTTGTTCCTCTCTTTGTAGTGAAAAGGAAAACAACAACAACAACGTATTATGATATTTTATTTCAATTATTAAACTGTTCTTATCTCAACCCTTGAGTTTTCTTACTGTTGCCCTTCCAATTCTCTCTGCCATCCCACTAGGAGGGGGAAGGGGAGCGAGTGGCTGGGTAGTGCTTAGTTGCCGGCTGGGGTTAAACCATGACAAGTCTGTCTAAAGTTTTGGGTTTTTTTTTCCTTATGCAGTGGTACATCTACTTAACAGTCTCAAGGAATCATAGAATAATTTATGTTGGAAGGGACCTTTAGAGGTTATCTAGTGCAACGCCCTGCTCAGGAGGTCCAAGTCGATGAGGTTCCTCAGGAACTTCAGTTCAAATGTATTTTTCACATTATAATCTGGAATTTCAAACTGAATATTCAAGGTGTATTTGGCTCAATATGCCCACAAATAAAGCAAGTTATTTTTAGAGAAGCATGTTACTTTTGTACCATACAGACAGCAACAAATTATATGACTATACAGAAATAAAAGCATCTCACAGTAGAAAGTCATGAATCAAGAAACCCTAAACTGCTGAAAGTTGTTTTATCCTTCAGTAACTGGGATGAGAAAGACAAATGTATGCAATTCCTGTATTTTCCCTTTAAAGTTGCAGTGTAAATAATTAAATGCAAAAGAAATCTAATGCAGCACGACTGCCAGAAGACACTAGTCCACACTGATATTTGACAGGAAAGTACATGCAGCAATACTGCTTAATCTATAATTCAAGAGCTAACAACCAGTCATTTAAAACCAGATTCAGAGGATGTTTAGTGACTAAATATTGGTATCTTTCTCCTCAGCTTTAACTAAAAGATTAGGCCTGTTTGAGAAAATTCAGAATTAATCTGTGTGAATGAGAAGAGAGGCTAGGCTCTTACATACACATCACCATACTCTTGTTTTTTTATAATTATATATAGTTCCTTGAAGTTTGCAAGTGAAAATCACCTTCTGGTTGATTTTTTTTTCTTTTTTTTTGTTTTTTTTTTTTTTTTTTGGCTCTCTTCTGTATAAAGACCAGCTGGGATGCCTGAGGAAAGAAAATCTAATCTGGAGCAAATGAATTTATAAGTTGCAGCTATATCAAAGGTTTCAGCATCACCACCAAAGAGGGACTGCATAAGAAGTACAAGAATGTTATCCTATACAAAGGAAGAACACTGAGGTGTCAACATATTGACTAAATATTCCAACAGGAAAAGATAAATGCATGAAAACACAAATTGGGTAATATCAATTATAACAGAAATATGGGCTGTCTTGAAGTGATTATACAAGACAAATTACAGAAGTGCTCAGAGAGTCAAGGGTACCCTGAACAACAACAACAAAACCACTCAGCTTCAAAGAAAAGTTACGACTCTAGCTAACTGTCTCCAGAACAAGATTACTTCACTGCTATAAGGACACTTGCTTAGAATTAATTTTGCTATTAGTTCTTTAATTTCCTACGAGATTGTTAAATGGATATTTAGTGCATCAAGACGGTAGAGTCCTGTGATGAGTAATGAAGGTTTTGTGAACGTCTTTGGAAATCAGCCGAGATGAGGAGGCTTCAAAAGGAGGCTGGAGAAGTTATTCTTAGAAAAGGGGAGTGAAGAGCCTAGATAGCAAACGGGCAGCTTAGAGAAACTGTTAACTGTCAGGGCCCTGATAAGAACGCTCTTCTGCTACAGTACGAGCTCTAAGGAACGTTAAAGGGCCAAAGTAACGAAGATGAATTACTGTTTCTCAGGTTTTCAATGTGTAATGAAGAGTGAAGACATTCTAATTTTACTTACAGCAGTATTTATCTCCTCGTTTTCAAATTCAAAATCTAAATGAGTTTTAAATAGCACACACGTGGAGACGCTATTTCCATGGGCGCTTCCATACCAACTTCTCCCTGCACCGGTTTCCTGACGCGCTGAGCAATGTGGAGCCCTTCTCCGTGCGTACAACTGAATGTATTTTGTCCCACTATGCCCAGGTAGCAGTCATTTTGGTGGACTTTCAGTTACAGTCGCCTGATGTTTAGAATCTCTTGGCAATTCTTCCAAATCACGCGTTCAGTCTCCCTTTAACTTCAGGTTAAAGCTTGACACCAAAGTAGGTAACTAGCTTTTTTGGGTTTTTTTGTGAAAAATGGATGTAATTCAAAACCTGTTGGAAACCTTTGAATAATGAGTTAAATGTAACCTGAAAATTCAAGTTCAATTCATCTATCAGATATATTTCAGGCAAAGCTGGACGATTTTATGTTTCCTCTGTTTCCTGTTAGCATTTAGACGTAGACAGTTACTTTCCTAAATCCAGCTGTTTGTTTTCAAACGCATTAACCCAATTCAGATTGTTCCGAGGCTGTACGTAGTGTTACTGATTTCAGAAAGAGGTGTTCCGCTTGAATTTAGCGGCAGGGAATAGTTATTTTCTTGGTGCAGGGCAAGATTCCCAGAAGCTGCTCAGCCATCGCCAGGTCCCGGCCAGAGGAGAGGGCCTCGCAACCAGCACGAGCTTCAGGCGAACAGGCTTTGATGCATCCCGGCCGTGCAGCCATCAGCGCGCGCTCCTGCACCCCGCGCAACTCCCTCGTTATGTCCCGGCTTCTCCGCCAATGCGGAGGCAGAAGCAGGCGCCCGGCGCTCACCCCCCTGCGCCCCGGCCCCGTCACCAACGACAAGGGTGAGCGACGGGACCGATTTCCAAGTTTGCTGAGCCGCTGGCTGAGGCTCTCGTGTTAGGGTGACAGCAGCCGTCCCGCGGCACGCCGCAGGGTCCCCCCCCCGCTCTCCCCGGCAGGGCTCTCCCCGCCTG